GGAGAAGCAGCAGCTGTCACCACCAGTCCGAGCAGCTCCGTGGGCTTCCCTGGCCAGCTGGGCATGTGGAAGGATATCTCGACTGTCCTCGGCCTCCCAGCCGTCGGGCTTTGATGTTCGGGAAGATCTCCCGGATGATCTTGCCGAAATTGGCGGCGCTCCGAGGGCGACAGCGGAGGTTATCGCAGTATCGCCTGCCGGGGAGAGCTGCGGGTTAAAGCCGTCGAGCCCTTCTCGCTGCCCTCCGGATGCACCAGCTTCTCCCCGCCGGCGCGGCTCGTTCCAGGAACCCAAGGTTGGGCTGGGCCGTTCCCAAACAATCCCAGGCACTGGTTGCCCTCCGAACCGACCGCCCCGCCGGGCTTTGCTGGACAAGCCCGGCCCCGGGGAGCGATGCTCCTCACGCCAGGCCGGCCCCCGTGCTCACTTGTAGGCATCGTAGACGTCCTGCTTGGGCAGGCAGGTGTCCGTGTGCTCTTCCAGGTGGTTCCGGATCCAGTTGCACGCGTGCATGTACTCGGCCGTGCTCAGCGAGCTCAGGTCCAGGCTACCGCTGCGCCCGTCGGAGCCCGAGACGAACACTCAATTAGCAGAGAAGCAGCACAAGCAGGACAGGAGAAGGCAGAGCCGTGGCAATCTCCCTCCCAGCTTCTCGCGACCTGTATCCCCCACCAACATCCTGACCGCCCCTGCTCTCCCGGACACGGTCCCAGCTCGCTCCGGCACCCACCTCTTCTCCCCCAAGCTTGGTCCTGACGGCAGCTGGAGGTAGAGGTAGAGCTTGTCACTGTCTGAAAACTTCTGGACATCTTGCTACGGTCAAAGGGTCCGCAGGGAGGGGGAGGATGGACCAGAGACAAAGAAAGGTTAAGGATCCAAAATAAGGGACCGCTGACGCAGGCGGTGCTCTCGTTACCCTCTTAATGGCAGCAACGGATGGAACCAGAGCAGCCCTGAGCCTGCGCGCGAGGGAGCCGGGCAAAGAGAGTCACGGGGCTGGGGGAGCGGGTGCCAACCCCTGGGCAGGGTGCTCAGGGGTT